TCCAACCACCTGGGCAACAGAGTGAGACTTCGACTCAAAAATTAAAAAAAAAAGCACATCAAAATCTAGGATAATGCTTACCTGCGGGAGCATATGTAATGACTGATCTTAAATAGTAGTTTATTTCTTAGTAACAATACTTGATCAAGAAAAGTAGAGATAAATGCTAATCTGTTATAGCTGAGTAGTAAGTACATGAGTCTCCTGTTACTCTCTACGTTACAGTATATTTTTGAAATAAACCAAAATTTAAAAATAAGAATAAATGTCATGCCAATGATTTTATTCCCTAAGCAGGTCTACATAAGCAGGTAGTGCTTATGTAGTGCTCCCATAAGCAGGTAGTGACATGGTTAGATTTATGCCTTGGAAACCATTTCCTGCCCTGGTCCCTGAATAGAGGAAGTCTTAGAAGAGCGGGTAAATGGAGGCAGGAAGACTTGGTAAAGAAACTGTTGCAATAGGCTAAGAACGAGTTACTGACACCTGGCATAAGTTAATGGTCAGAGTAAAAAGGGTTGGGGTAGATTCAAAAGCTATTTAGAAAGTAAAATTGCCAAGATATTGTCTTCTTTTTTTCTCCCTTGGTATTTAAAAACATAGTTTTTTCAAGTTTCCCTCTTAACTCCTTTTCAACTGAAGTATCACATATGAATAAAATGTACAAGTCATAAGTATGCAACTGACTGGGTGCAGTGGCTCGTGCCTATAATCCCAGCACTTTGGGAGGCTAAGGCAGGAGGATTGCTTTAGCCCAGGAGTTTGAGACCAGCCTGGACAATAGTGAGACCTTGTCTCTACAAAAAAATGCAAAATAAAAATAAAACAGCCGGTCATGTTGGCAGCCTCTCGCAGTTCTGGCTATTCGGGAGGCTGATATGGAGGGATGTCCTGAGCTCAGGAGACTGAGGAGACTGGCCTGTGGTGAGCTATGAGTGTGCCACTGCAATCCAGCTTGGGCAACAGAGTGAGACCCAGACCAAAAAAAAAGTATGCAACTTAATACAGTGACCTCCGCCCAGATCAAGTCTTTTCCCAGTCAATATATACCCCTAAAGGTAACCACAAATCTGAGTTCTATCATCATTGATTGATTTTGCCTGTTTTGAACATTGTAAAAATGAATTCATACAGTATGTTTTTTTTTTTTTAATGCCCGATTTTATTCATTCAGTATTCTTTTGGAGTAGTTTACTCATATTGTTGTATGTACAAGAGTTTGTTCATTTTCATTGCTAATATTTCTCATGTGGATACTTAATCTCACTATTTAAATGGGCACTCAATGGTTGATGGAGATTTGGGTTTGTTCCATGTTTGAACTGTACCACCATGAGAATTTTTGTACTTGTCTCTTGTTGAGCATAGATACTTTCTTCTGTTGGGTGCGTATTTTAGGAGGGGAATTTCTGAAGGATATATATATTTTTTCTTTTTTGTATTTTTTTATTGATAGTTGTTCAAATTTTGGTGGCACATATGATATTTGATGCATATATACAATGTGTAATGAACAAGTCAGTGTAATTGGGATATAGATCACCTCATATATTTGTGTTTTCTTTGTTTTGGGAACATTGTAATTCTTTTTTTCTAGTTATTTTGAAATATACAATTAATTATTGTTAACTACAATTTCCCTACTGCATTATCAAATACTAGAACTTATTCCATCTAACTGTATTTTTATACCCATTAATCAGCTTCTCTTTACCCCCTCTAATAATATCTACTTTAACAGTTGTTTTTGAGAATTTAAACAAAGCAAACCATGTGGAAGTTTTTTGGAAATATTTTGGAATAAACTAATAAATATTGTATATAAATTCATTCTAACTGGCAGCAATCTTATGCAGATTTAGAGCTGGTAAAGCTTTCTTCTTCTTCTTTTACGTCTACCTCAGAGAAAATAAAGTTTTCACTAATCCCTAAAGAGAAAGACAATGTTTTGCAGTTCCCCATGTCCCTGAACCTGTTTAACTGGGAGGTTACCAAGAGTCATGTGACTTTTCCACCCGATGCTGATTCATTGGTTCAAAATTACCAGGAACTATTCAGTGTCAGGCAGAAAGACAGGACTTACAGAGGATAAGACTTGCCTTTGGCCTTGAGAATCTGACAGTCTTGACACAGACATTTACATATGTAATTGTAAGAGGGTACTGAAGTCTGTACAGCATGTTCTGAGCCAAGTTCTGGAGGGGTGTGGCTGGGGTGGGGCAGGGGAAAGGGGAGAAGCACAACAGAACAGAATCTGCAAGTTCATGAAGCAAAGCATGGGCTATTTCTCAAACGTTATTGTGTATGTGAATCACCTGAGGATCTTGTCAAAGGAAGATTCCAATTCTGTAGGTGTGGGTTGGTCAGGAGTCTTCCAGGTCTGTATTTCTACCAAGCCCCCAAAGATACAGATGTTGTTAGTCTGTGGGCCCCACTTTGAGAATCAAACTTCAGGGTTGACAGAATGCCATAAGCAAAGAGGTGTGAAAACAGAGTTTATAAATCTCAGCTTCATTGAGGGACCATCCAAGGCTCAGAGAAGCTGCAAAACTTGACCAAAGGCACATCACTCAGTCAGTGGCAGAGCCCAACCTGAGAACTGGCTCCCCAAGTCCATGTTTCCTTCTCCACATCATGCCTTACACTGTGCCTCATAATAGCACGGATACAACGAGGTACAGCTCCATGTTTTCTTAAGTCCGCATGAAATGGGGTAATTTCTTCTTTAGGATAGGTTAGTCTGTCAAGTACTTTTGGAAAGGTATAATGGACAGACGGGTGAGGGAGGGTGCTAGGGTCAGGAGAATTGGGTTCTGAGCTCACCAGTTCCTCTGCTCCCTGCGTGCCTTCCCTCTCCCACCCCTACTAGCAAGAGTTATTTTGTTCCTCTGGACCTCTGTTCCTCAGATTTGAAGTGAAAATTTGGACCCTGGCCTTGACGATCTCCCTAGCTGCATCCTGAGATCCAAAGATACAGCACCACTTACAAATAACTCAGGGGCCCCAGGAGGTCACTTTTTCTAGCAGCAAAGAGGAGGCTGATCTTAGTGGCAAGAAATGAAGCCATGAGCCACATGAGTCTATTTTCAGGCCTTGAAGTCAAATGGAGCTTGCCTGACCAAACTATGAAATTGTTTGGGGTCCATAGCTCCTTCTTTCCTTCCACTTCCTCCCTTTTTGACAGGAATATCTATAACTGTTATTCTATGCCTGTCCCATCACTGAATTTTGGGAGCAGAGAACATGTTTCTTGAGTTTCACAGGTTCATGGTTGGAGAGCAATTGTACCTCAGGGTGGATTAAGGCTGGAGCCTCATCATTACCTAATTTGAATAGGTTAGTTTAGAGGATGAGATTTGGGATGTTTGTTCTTAACAACTTTAAGATTTAGACGAGATTTTGGATTTGGGGTTGGGACTTTTAGGAAGGATGTTGGGATAGGGTGAGTCTATTTTGCACGTGGAATGGGTGTGAATCTTTGGGCGCCAAACTGGACTGTGATAAACTGTGGACTGTGGTAGTCAGAATAGTCCCCCCCAAATGCCCATGTCCTAATCCCTGGAATCTGTGAATGTATGTTACACGGCAAAGGGGAATTAAGGTGGCTGATGGAATTAACTTTGCTAATCAGCTGACTTTAACATAGGTAGATGATCCTAGATTATCTGAGTAGGCCCATGTTATCACCAGCTGCTGGTTTTGAGATGAAGAGGGTCACAAGCCAAGGAATGTGGGTGGCCTCTAGAGGCTGGAAACGGCAATCAGCCTCTCTCCTAGAGCCTCCAAGGTTGTAAGATAATAAATCTGTGTTGCTTTAAGCCATTAAATTTGTGGTAATTCGTTACAGCAGCCAGAGACAACTAATATTGGATTAGTCCTATAACGTAGGACATTTAACTTAAGCAAGTTGTTTCATCTTTGCAATCCCTTAGTATTCCTTATTTCTCAAACTAAGAACTGCTGTGAGGATCAAAAGGAACACAGGCAGAAATGCCTAGCACACAGGTGCTCAATACACGTGAACTTCAGCTTCCCCCTTTCGTCCAGGTTGGGAAGACACAAGGAAGGGGCCAAATGCCATTCTCCCCCTCCCGTGCACGCTTCTTCCTTTGATGTGAGCTGTGTACAGGATTCCCTTTGTCAGTTCCTGCAGGGCACCTTATCTAGAGCACCGGTTCCTTATCTGCCTTTGGGGGACCCACAATACCTACCTTCCTGATGGAAAATCCCCTTTAGAATACAAAAGGTCTTTAGAAGATCCTGAGGTGAGAGTAGAGCCAGAGCCTCACTGTGCAAACAGGACTTCAGAGTTGAAAGAAAAGTGTAAATATCGGCATCTATGCTAGGCCCACAGGATTTCCCAACGAAAGAATCAGGAGGCAGAGTGCCCGGGGACAAGGCAAGCCTGTTCAAAGAGGTCATGACGCCCACATCTTCCCTATCCCCACACACCTGAGACAAACATCTCTCAAACATCCCATGCTTTCAGAGATGAAAGAATAGCCAGGTGCAGTGGCTCACATGTAATCCCAGCACTCTGGGAGGTGGAGTCCAGAGGGTTGTCTGAGCCCAAGGGTTCAAGACCAGCCTGGGCAACTTGGTGAGACCTCGTCTCTACAATGAACAAATAAAAAACTAGCCAGGTGTGGTGGTGCGGTGCACATCTATGGTTCCATCTACTTGGAAGGGTGAGGCAGAAGGATGCCCTGAGTCTAGCAAGTCGAGGCGAGGCTGCGGTGGCCGTGAGCATGCCACTGCACTCCAGCCTGGGCAACAGAGTGAGACTCCAACTCGAAAAGAGAAAAAGAGAAAGAAAAAGAAAGAATAGCACAGATATCAGCATCTATGCGATGACTGCCGTACTTCCCACCAAAAGCATCAGGAGGCAGTGCTCTGGGACAAGGCAAGCCCATTCAAAGAGGTCAGCCCATATGCCCTCCTCCATCCCCACACAGCTGAGACAAACATCCCTCAAACATCCCACGCTTCCAAGTCCTTAATTAGTTGTGTTACGAGCTTTTATTTAAAAAGCACATTTAATACAAGTACAGTTTCGCAGATACAAGTTTTCACTTTGTATGCTACAAAAGTCTTTGAATATTATTCTCTTTACAAAATGGAACCTTACAAAAATACTGACAATTTAATGTTTTTATACAGTTTTCTCTAGTTGCAGTTATTTCTCTCATTATAAAACAATGTCTACCACAGAACTACGATATTTTAGTTGATATTAAAAAAAATTAACTCAATGCTTTTTAAAGCAGCTAATGTAAATAACACAGGTCGAGACACAGTTTATAATCATAGTGGATATAGCTAAAATTGTTTCAGAAATAATATTTTACATAGTTAACTTTTAATGTTTTATACATTATTTATATAATATTTATATATAAAAATCATAGCTTGCTATAAGTTGAAATGAAAGGACGGATTCTGTAGTAAGGATGTGCATGTGGTTGATCCATATGGTTACATGTAGCCCTTTGAAAGGTTTGCATCCAAGATCTAAAATCATTTTTCCTTCCTCCTTTCCTCAAAGGTTCAGTAGAAGGGGTTCCTGTCTACCGCCTAGAGGGAACTTGCTCGGAAGGACACTTATGGATAGGGGATGAGGAAAACTCTCTACGAAGATTTAACCCAAGTGTTCTGCCCAGCAGAAGCTACCAAGAACGGCCCTAGGGGTCAACCCCAAGACAATAGTGCTTTACCCAGCTTAGCAAGAGCCAACGTCCACAAAGACCTTCAGCTCCATCATCCTGAAGGATAGCCTCTCAGGCATGAGACTGCCCACTACCCTGGCTCCTTCTGACTTGGAGGAGCCAGAAGGTTGGCTCGTGTTTCATTCTGCCCCCTTCACTCTCCCATCTGTTGTACAGAAGAAGGCTGGTTTCCATCAGCCGGTGGTAGGCCATGCCTTTGCTCATCCCCGGACCCTCACAGAAAATCCTGGTAGGCACACAGCAAGGATTTCAAGGGAGAAGGCAGTAACCGAAGTCTGTTTCTAAGAGTGTGCAAGTGCCCGGTGATTGATGTACACAACAATATCAGCATCCTGCAGTCGGCGTTTCAACGTCACAAGAGGATGCGTCAAAAGGAGACAGGTGAGGGCTGTGCCCTCTATTTCTTCTTAAATTGTGCTATTTGTGAAATTCACCCATCCACAAAGAGTCTCCTAATCGCTAATGTGAGGGACTGTGGTTATTGGCCTATAGGATTGGGGAAGTGATGAGGCCTCTGGACTGGAATCTGGATTTGGGATCGATCGCTTGACTGAGCAAACTTGCTCTTTCCTTATATTAAAAACAAAACAAAACAAAACAAAAACAGGACAAAACTTCCTGACCCAAAGTCACAGGAGAGAGTAGAATGGGATGGACAGAGAGAGAGGCAAGAGGGCAGCCCCTGCCCATGGCTACTTTCTTGATTCAGTGCTATTTCTGGCATCGTGTGCTACAATATGAATTTCAGCTTTTCTCACAGGCCTGGGATGCCTCAGGTCACAAAAGGTGACCAGCAGCCTCTATTCAAATCGTTTTAGTGTTTGTTCCTGAACAAGCCCGTGCTCACTAGAACATGAACACCTAAACCAATTGCACATCCAGGACTCCGGCACTTGGTGTTAGTTTGCTGTTGTTTCCACATAGGTGAACACTACCTATTTTGGAAGGCCACAAGGTAAAACATTTTTTTTTTCTTTTTAAAAATCGGTCGGGCAAAAGTTTTTCCCTACATTCTACTGTCTGATGAGATCAGAGAGCAGCAAGAACTTGCTGTCAGCAGTCATTTTATAAAAACAGCTCAGGAGGTGGATGGCACCTACACCATGTTGTGGTGATTGTTCCTGTCAATAATGTCCACAGGTGAAAGGATTTCCTTCCTGATAGCAGGGGGAGGCAGGGAGAGTGCCATCTTCGTCTTGAAGAGGTCGGACACGAAGAAAACCTAGAAGTACAAATCAGAGATCCAAATCAGTAATTGACATCTGGGTTCTGGGCATAAGCAAAGGCAAAGTGAAGGTCAGAGGAGCACAGACTTTAGGAAAAGGGGCCCCAAGTCACAACTCTTTGAATAGGGAAGGTCCAGAGAGATCATATCATCCACCTCTTACTGTACAGATAGAAAACTGAGGCCCAGGAAAGGGCAGTGACATGCCCCACATTGCATAACAGGGGTGGGAGTAGAACCCGGCTCTACAAATTCTCAATCCAGTATCTGCAACCTGCATGCCCTTATTTCTCAAGGCAAATGAACAGCAAGCAAAGATAAGCTCCCAAACAGAGGAAGCAAGTCATACTTAGTCGCAGTCATTAATTCATGCTACTTTCCCTTTCCTCACAAAGGAATCCAGGGTGTAACCAAGAAAGATCAGCCAGTGTGAACTCCTACCAGCAGGGGCTGGAGTAAGGAAGTAGTGGTCACCACATTTTCCTGAAAACCCAGTGATAGCAACCATTTGATGGGGGGTCAAGAAGCCAGGGTCTTGTTGCTGAGGGAGTCAGCAACTAACCAGGAGGAGAGGTCAATGAAAAATCTCCTATCGCTCATTCCCAGCATCTTTCCTCCTCCTGGGCATGTGACCTCACGGCGTCTTTCTCAGAATCATTGAGAAACATTTACTGGACGCCCACTTGCAAGAGTTTGAGGATGGCTCAGGCATAGTTCTTGCCTTAAGGAGCTTATGATGAAAGATTCAAGGACCTGACGAGCTACTGGAGTAAGAAAAATTTATGCTTTGTATTAAATAGCAAAATAAATATGCAGACATGCACTTGAGCCATTTAGCCACAGGAGTTTGTATTAAGTAACCGTAAGCGGCAGCTATCAGTCATGTAATTTAATAGGAAACACATGGCTGGGATTTGAAATGGGGACTGAAACACTTTGAAAGTTCCTATGTCCAGCAGCTTTTTGAACTGAAAAGTCTTTGTCCTGCTGATGGTAATGTGCTCACTAATAATGATGGCACTGGGACTTCATTCTGGCCACATGATAGGCAAGAAAATTAAGTTCTTAATAAGACTTCACCAAAACTAAGGATCTAGCAAACCTGGACCTGGCTATAGAAAGGACTCGAATTATTTGTTCAATCGATTTCCATAGTGTTTCTTCTGTAGTAACACAGCAATCAACAAAGTGCCAGAAAAATCACAGCAAGAAACTGGGACGCTGGTAAACCCGAGAGAGGAGAACTGGGCTTTGGTTAGAAGACAAAGGTGAAACAGAGACTTCTCGGTCACTGTAAAGGCTATTGTACCTTTGGAATGCTCCACCTATTACATGTATTATCTACTGAAACATTTAACAATTATATTTTTTGTTAATGTTTAAAAACAGATAAAAAAAGTTAGGCTGTGTCTAAGCTACCACAAAAAATGATATATTAGCCAAGTCATGTAACATGGTAATACATTTACCACTTGAGTGCCACTGAATGTACCATTTTGCAAAGGAAAAAAATTAAGCCTTTTCTCTCTTTTCTAAGAGGTTTGAACAGTGAAAACTATGGTACAGATAAATTTGTCTTGGTTAGGTGTGATGGCTCACGCCTGTAACCCCAGCACTTTGGGAGACTGAGGAGGGAAGATTGCTTGAGCCCAGGAGTTCTAGTCCAAAAAAAAAAAAAAAGAAAATTAAAAATTAACCAGGCATGGTGGCAGATGCCTGAACTTCCAGTTACTTGGGAAGTTGAGATGGGAGGAACATATGAGCCCAAGAGTTCTTGGCTGTGATAAGCCGTGACTGTGCCACTGCACTCTAGCCTGGGTGACCAAGTGAGACCCTGACTCAAAAACCCAAAAAACTTAAGAGAGAGAAAGAGAGAGAGAGAGAGAGAGAGAGAGAGAGAGAGAGAGAGAGAGAGAGAGAGAGATTGAGAGAGAGAGATTGAGATTTGTCTCCTAGTCAGAGTCAAACTTGAGAATTGGGGAAAAAAAGGCCTGTGCATAACCCACCAAGAAGCTCTAGGCTCCCTTGCTAGAAATTTCTTTGCAATTAGTCTAAGAAAATGTTTTAGAGTGCTCCCAGTATAAGGAAATACTAACAGATTCGATTGAGGCTCAGTGTGTAGACAATTACACTTTTCATCTCGTCTCTACCCCAACCCCATCTCCACATGTCCCTGTTCCCCCAGTGGCCTCATGCCACTGCACTATGACGATGTTACCATCTGATAGGTGCTGGGACAATGTCCTCTTCTCCACCTCAAAATTATCCTCCCTTTCATCCTTGTCTCTAAGGAAGAGGCTTCAATCAATCCCTCCATGCCTGGCTCTCAAATCTACTTACTCCAATTTAGCAGCTACAGTCATGAAATAAGGACACTTACAGCCCCAATTTCTTAGAGATCTTTCTCCCTGACTTCATCCCATCTGCCAAGGGCAGATTAATAGGGGACAGCTCTCCCAACCCCAACAAATACTTTCCTCTTCAAGATATTGAAAACCTACTACCTCAATCTACTGGCTTATTTCCCAACTTAATTTTCTGGGCTCACGTCCACGACATATTAGAGTTTCCATTTTCTAACTACAAAATAGGAATAATATGAAGGTTAAAGACAATAATGAACTTGAAACTACCTAAACGTATGTTTGGTACGTAGTTCAATAAAAAGCATTCCTCTCGCTAACGCTCTGGACACCAAAGCATGCAATTACTGGGATCTAGAGTCATGATGCTGTCTTATCTCTCCAAAACTTTGCTTATTGGTATTTCTTGCTAGATGGGAGGATTTTTGAGGATTGGAGCCCTAGTGATAATCACCCTGTATCATACATAGCACTTAGCTTTGGGCTTTGCCTATACCATGGGCTCAGTGAATATTTGCTGTTGAACTTTGAAAATTCTCTGTACGTACTGGGAAACAAGCACTCTGGCCTTACAGCTTACTGACACACAACTCCTGCGGACTTGAGGGGGAACCACATACTCAAACGCCGCATGCATGCAGCCAAGTAGCGAGGTGAAAAGTTGAGTCAGGTCCAGCAGAATCCCACTTTCAGCTGTATTTCGCTTTCAATGTGGCTTGAGGTTACACAAACACTTTTTTGGGATCATGAAACATAATCCTGTCAAGACTCAAACAGGGCCCAGTCTTCCTAATATTTGAATAGCAGAACACACAAAAAAAGAACTAGTAAAAGTAAAAACTTCTTGGCTTGGAACAGTTCCATTTCCTACAGAAGATGATCTCCACCCAGAAAGAAAACCCAGAGGCCCAAGCTGGGAAGGGTCTATACAAATTAAGTCTGTGTCTTAGGTCTTAGAAATAAACCCACTCCCAGCCCACAGTCTTACTCCACAGATCTTCTCTGCTGTGTGAAAGAACACACTAGACAATAAATACAGTCTTGGCAAAAAACAAACTATACATACTCTAACCACTAAGAAGAGTTCTAAGTTACGCTGCTCAGAAAATTGGCTTTCAATTCCATTTCTCCAATTCTTTGAATTTCATAATTTTTTTTTGAAAAATGAATGAATGCAATCAATAAATACTTACTGGACTCCTGCTGTGTGTTAAGTTTCAAGAATATAAAGAAGAATATATATGAGACATATAAGAACATATGTAAGTCCTTTATCCTTCAGAAGCTTATTGGAGGCCAGTGAGGTAGACAGCCAGGTAAATAGACAACCACAATACAGCATATGAAGAATTATGACAGAGAAAAAGCCAGGGCGCTAACAAAGCACAGAGAATGTGGCATTCAACCCAGACGGAAGGGGTGGGGAGCAGGTCTAATTCTCCCAAAGGATGTACAATTGAGGTTTAGCTTTGAAGGATAAAGAGTTAGCCAGATGGTGAAGGCCAGGAATGTTATTATAGGCAGAGGGAACAACGTGTGCAAAGGCACAGGAGTGAGAGAGTACAGAATGTTCGGGAGCTGCAGGAAGCTTAGTGTGTCTAGGGCAGAGAGGTGAATGAGGCTGGAGAGGAAAGGCCAGATCTGGAAAAGCCTCCCAGGACACGCTAGGTCATTCAGACCTCATCTCTTTGGCTCTAGGAATCGCTGTCAAGGCCTCAGCTGGCAGCGCCACATTGGAAAGACTTGCATTAAGATCATGTTGGTATCTACATGTTGGTATCTACAATGGCGATGGGGTCAGTAGGATGCAGTGAGCCTAAAGGAAGGGATTGCAGAGTCTAGGAGAGCATGAGTCCTGAACAATGGCCATGTAGTGATGCCAAAGACGCAGGGATAGATTCTGAAGTGTGAGGACAGGATGGCAGTTGGTAGAGGTGGTGCATATGCGTGTGGATGGGCATGGGGGCAGGGGGAGGCAACGCGTTTCTTTCTAGTTCTGTTTTCAGCTCTAGAAATCTTTGCACTTGTTCCATAAAAACTTTAAACATTTGAATAACTATGCTAGGGGATAAGTTATAGCTCTGCTTTCCTTTGCCTTCTAACGTTTCGGCTCCTCTGACATTGTCTTCGGGAAGTGATATGGACCTCCTTCTGAGTCAGAATGGAAGGCTATTCTGTGATCCCAGGGTGGAAAGTGATCTATGAGGAAGCATCCCCCCCAAAATGAAATTGTCTTTTGGAGGGTGGGCCCCTTTTAGTATAGGCTTCCTTTCCATAAAGGATAAGCGTTCTAGAAACCCACTGGCAGTGTACCAGCTAGCATTGCTGTGAGAAGCTGCATTCAGACTCAGTGAGTTTTTTTGTGTGTGTGGAGATTCTTTCAACGCATTTGCCCATTTCTTGATGGGTGATTTATGAGTGCACCTGCCCACACCAAGCTGAGTGTTCTGCAGTTCTTGGCCAAAAATGGCATGACCCCTGTGACCCACCCTCCCTATTCACCCAATCTCACCCTGAGCAACTTTTTTGTTGTTTCCCCAGATGAAAAAAGTCCTCAAAAGGAAACATTTTACCGATGTAGAAGAGGTGAAACAACAACAACAAAATGGCAGAAACACTAAAAGGCATAAAAAC